CCCTGTGGGCAGCAGGGGCTGGGGGCAGAGGCTGAGGCTCCTTCGGCTCCCCTGCCCGCGTCCCGGCGCACCGCGGGATCCGGCTCTGGGCGCCCGCCAGGCCGCCAGGGAGGGGGCGCAGGCAGTCTCCCTCCAGATCTCGCACGCGGCCCTCACACACGGCACGCTCTGCCCCTTCACTTCCCGCGCCGCGCACACACAGCCCGCCTGCAGCACACGGTAGTGGATCAGGGGAAGCAGCTCCCGCCGCTTCCCGGCCTCGGCCACGCCCGCGACCCCCAGCAGGAGGGCTTACCTGCACGCCCCGCTCCGTCCCCGCCCGCCACTTCCCGCTTGCCCTTAGACCTCGCGCGTCCCACTGCCGGCTCCGCCTCCGCTCCGGCCGCGCTGCACGCCGGGACGTGTAGTCTTACCTCCAGGCGTGGCTGGCCCGCCCCGGCCCGTGAAAGGGGCGGAGACATGGAGGACAACGAGACCTCCCATTGGCGGGGGAGGACGTGGCCCGACTCGAACCCGCCCCCTGGGCTGGCCGTGATTTGAATGACTCCCTCTTAGATCCTTCAGGCTTACTCCTTCAAGGAATTTGTCTTCCACTTAGAAGTCTGACAGCTGCGATCGGGTTTTACTCATCTCTGAATTTCCTAATCTGCACCTCTCTCTAGACCCGAACTTCCGGTTACCCACTCATTTATTCATTTCACAGATTTTTTAGAACCCATGAGCTATTTGTCGTCATTCATTCACTGTACAAATCCTTATTGAGCACCGTACTTTGGGCTAGCGCTTGGCTAGAATTGGGGGATAAAAAGTTGAATAAGACCTGGGAGCTGCTCTCAAAGATCACAGGGCAAGAGAGAGACAATCGGTAACCAAGAAACTATGGTTCAGTGTCTTTCTGTGCATTGTCCGGAACAGGCACAGCCTATGAGAGCAGGAAGGAGGGGCCCCTAACCCCAAGAGACATCTAAGCTGATGCTTAAAGATGGAGTAGGAATTTCTAGGTGCAGAGGAGAGGACTGGCATTCCAGGCAGAGGGCACTGCATGAGTACAGACAGGAGAAACCACCCTGGTACAGGCTGGGAAACACAAATATAAAACCCAGTCTGTACTGCTGGCTGTAGAGTTAGGGGGAAGAGGGAAGGAGTGAGGGCACAAAAGGATGGAGAAGTTAGCAGGGCCTATAGCACCCCCTTCTGCCAGAAGAGTTTGCACTTTGTTCCAAGGCAATATAGACTCTGACTGGTTTTATGCAGGAGGGTGACCTGGGTGTGTGTTTTTAAAAGACTGCCATGACCAAAGCATGGAGGATGGATTTGTGGAGAACAAAGCCGAACGTGAGGGTGCTGTGGCTGTGGTGAGGAGGTTGGCAGGGAAAGGGTGAGCTAGGCTGGGAAGCACATGAATCACCGGTTCTCAACTTCGTGGACCCATTGATAAGCTGAAGACAACATGAACAACCTAGCTTTTGCTGTAGAAAAATTTGAAGGTGTCCAAACCCATAACATTTTCCATCCAATTTTAGGACACATACCTGAACATCCTAGAGTTAGGAACTGCTGCTAGAGGAAGAAACAGGGACAGGACCAGGTGACCGTTGGGATGTGGTGAGTGAGGAAGAGGGAGGAGACTAACCTACATTCAGCTATTTAGCAAATATTTACTGAGCACCTACTATTGGGGATAGAACTCTCTCTAGCCCAACAGAGTTTACAGTCTAATCTGGGAGACACAAACTAAACAAACAGTCATACAAATACATTGTTACAAACAGTAAGTGCAGAAAGGAAAAGGGTAGTGTTTTCTTATGGAATTGTAGAACGTTTAAAAGCCATGCTGGAGCCATAGGGCTTGGGCTCAAACTCCAGCTTTGCCTCAGTAACCAGGCGACCTGGGGTGCATTACATAACTTCTCTGTGCCTTAGTTTCTTCACCTGTAAAGTAGAGATAATTATCATTTCTAGCTCACAGGGTTGTCATGGGGAGTAAATCAGTGCTAAGCAGAAATGCACAGAAGAGTTGCAAAGGATAGTGCTGTGCTAGTGTGTGTATTACCATTACTGTGGAAGCATTTGACAGGAAGGAGGGGTCGATCTCTTCTTAGGGGTTAGGGAAGGATTCCCTGAGGAAGTGATATTTGTGAGGAAATCTGAATGATGTGCAAGAGAGGATGGGGTATGGGGGGAATCCTAGGCAGAAGAAAGAACCCGTGCAAAGGGCCTGAGGCAGAAGGTACAACTGAGAGAAGAGGCAAGAAAAGGCCTTTGTAGCAGAACCCAGAGGGAGAGCAGGGAATAAGGGAGTGTAGAAGGTGAGCATAGACAGATTCCACATTAAGGATCTTTCCCTTCATCTTCGGAGTGATAGGAAGCCACTGACAGAGTAGGCCTAAGGACAGGAAGACATTTGCATGTTAATGTGACCTGTGTGAATGCCTAGTGGAAAGTGAAGTGTGTGTATGAGTAGATACAAGACAAGTTAGGGTTAGGGGTGCAAGCAGGCATCTGGGGAGAACATCATGGGGGAGGTGCTGGTAGCAGTGCAGCTGGACGGTGGTGGAAGATTCCAGTCATCAGGAAATAAAATCATCATAGTGATATGTAGGAATGGAGGGTAATGGAGAGGGAGTGTCAGGATGGACTCTGAGGTTTCTGGGCAAACAGGCAGGCAGTGGGTTTCACTGAGACAGGGTAAACTGGATCGGGTTGGGGGCGGGTGATGCGAAGAGGAGGGTGTGGGGAGGGGAGTGAAAAGCGCAAGTTCCACTTCAGACATGGTGAGCTCGAAAGGCCTTTGGGACACTGCATGTAGATGTTGAGTAGGCACGTGGAGGCCTGGGTTTGGACTCACATGAGGACGGGAAGTTGTCAGCAGAGAGATGATCATGAGAATGAGGGCTGGATTGCCCAGAGAGATGAACTTGGAAAGAAAAGAGAAGGAGCCCCAGGATGGAGCTCGGAGGCACACCCACAGATTAGGGCTGTGCAAATGAGGATACACCTGCAGAGGCTGAGAAGGAGGGACTGAGAGGTGGGAGAAAACCCAGGAGAGTGGACGTAGGGAAGGAAATGAACAGAAGGAAGCCAAGAGTACCAGGAAAGTGAGAGGAGTCAATGGGGAATGCTCTGAGAGTTGGGTAGGACGAGGATGGAACCACCAGCTTTGGTTCATGACAGGCCTGGGGACTGTTGGTGGCTTTAAGGAGCGTTGTTCTGCAGTGATCAGTACACATATGTAAACTAAAAAAAATACGTGCAGTATATTGTATATATGTATTTACATGCAATGTAATGTATATGTGCAGTCAAACTGTAACAATTCTAATAAAACTGAAAAAGGAAACAAAACTCATAAAAATAAAGGAGTACTGTTTCTGCAGAGTGATGGAGAGGGTCAGATGGCGGTGGTCTGACGGCAAGGGATGAAGGAGGCAGTGGGTCTTTTGAGAAGAATTTGTGTGAAGGGGAGGAGAGAGATGCTGTGATGGGGTCAGTGTGTGTGTTGGGGGGAGGTACGTTAAAAGGTTGGAGAGACCTGAGTTTGTCTTCAGGCTGATGGCACATCAAGGGGAGAGACTAATTAAGGGTGTGGGAAATAGGGGCAAGAGTCAGCGAGCGAGGACCACGAGCACGTGCCGGGCGTGGGATCAGGCCGTGGGTGGAGGGGTGGTCTGGGAAAGGAGGAGGGATGACTTCTCTCGAACCAAAGGAAGGAACAAAGAGAGGATGCGTGCAGATGAAGATGTAGGTTTGTAGTGGGATGTTAAGGGAGATTTCGTCTTGAGCTGCTATTTTTTTCTGCCAAGTGAGAGGCGAGGTCTTCCGCTGAGAGCAAGAAAGAGGTGGTGAGGAGTTTGAGGGAAGGAGGGGAGTTTGCATTCAGAGACTTGAGGAGCAAACTTGCCCACGAAATCCCCAACTGCCTGACAGTGTTGACAACCCAGTTGGTTGTGGTCAGTAAATGCTGTGTGTCCTGTCAGCTGGGTGATTTCGCCCACCATGGCTCACCTGCCTATGTGACGGCAGGGGAAAGTACTTAGTGGGGTTTACCCAGGCCCAGGGCTTTGCCAGATGGTTAGGGGGAAAGGGCACAGGGATCTAAAGTTTTGGAAAAGAGATGCCCAATTCTGTGGCCCTGGATCTAGGCTGGGCAGAGAGGGAAGTGAAGACAGATGGGGTCAGTTTTCAGGGACAGTGAATGCCTTTGTGGACTGGGCAGCCACAAGGTCAATAACCAAGAAGCTGAGCTCAGAGAGGGCTAGCAACCCCAAATGATGGCTATGCCCTGGTTACTGACTGGGTGGCTGGATGGGCCACTCACTGAGGCAGTGAACAGTGTGATGAGCGTGCAAGTCATTGGGAAGATGGAAGATTTTTTTCATCCCTCCAAGAACCAGTTTTCATCCCCTTAGCCCCAGCTGAGAATGCCTGCCTTAGTGAATTCCCTGAAGGCAGACTAGGGGTCCTCCTGTTGGCTGCATTATCCCCAGTCCTAGTCAATAAGTACTGGCCAATGATGGGTGCTTATAGCCCGTCTCCTGAAGAAGTGAGGAGGGCAGAACAGGCAGGGCACATACCATGAATCCAGGCCTGGACGCAGACATGTGAAAGACTTGTAGGAGGCAGTAGAGAAGGAACTGGGTCTTCCATCCTTCTCTGACCTTGGAAGAAATAGAGAACTGGTATTAAATTAAAAAAACAAAAACAAAGACAAACCAGGATGGCCTAATACCTTTTGTCTGGCAACAGGTTGTTTGTTTTTGTTTTGTTCCTAATAAAAATCATTTTAGGCACTTACGTTTTGTCCTTGGCTCCTGGGAGGCTACCTCTTCTGTAGACAATTTCTTTATTTCTTGATTTTCCAAATCATCCCCTTCACTGAATTGCCTTGGGGCCCAAGCATAAAATCAAAACGTTAAAGTGATCAAAGATAACATGGCAATAATTAAGACAGCAACAAACAAAACAGTGCAGTCCAAAAAAAAATTGGCCTCAGAGCATTTTCCCACCAGTTAGAAAAAAGGTGTCTTTGTAGTGGTAGGAGCCAGAAGCTTCCAGACCCCTCACCTGTGAGTGCCTCTTGGGTACGCAGGCTGCCTCAACTGTCCTGAACTCTCCAGCAGGGCTTTCAGGAAACGAGTGAAGGAAAGACTGTCAGCTGAAGGGAAGGAAACTAAGCAGACAGGGCTGCATGCCCTTCTCTTCCCAGAAGGAGTGGCTTCTGCACAGAGGTGGGAGGCAGCACCATATAGGGAGAGGTTATCGGGCCAGGAGTCAGGACACTACCTTTCTGGCCTGACTCTGCTGTGTGACCTTGGGCCAGTCTCTTGACCTCTCTGATCGTCAGCATTTTTTCTGGTTGAGAGGTTGGACAAGACCCTACCAGGACAGATACTCTCA